AAGGGGGAGAAGAGCGCTGAGCCAGGCGCTACCCGAAAAGAACATTATTACTTTTAAGTTCCCTAAATGATTGTGTTTCCAAACGGGCTGTGATGCCAGCCGGCGCTGTAAAGGGCGATTTGCGCACCTTGCGCTTTTGGCTGCAACCCCAGCAGCATCTCGGCTCATTGTGGCCTTTAATGTTCCACTAAACCAGCGGTACTTGGGGACAATAAAGCTTTAAGACCTATCATAAAGGCGATTATTAGTCATTAATATCACGACACATTTAGGCATTATGCTCAAACTGGTCTGTAATGATTTGTGATCAATCAAGCTGACGGTCTTGTTGCAAATTAGGCTCCATTTTCAACTAGAATGACGAAAAAGAATGATACTTTCAGAGGAAAAATTACTTGCTACTGGAAATTGTATCCGTCTAAAATCTAAACTAAAAAAAAAAACAATTAACATAGTGAGTCTGCCAAAGCAGAAGGAGATTAAGTGATGATTTTATGGGTTGTTTTTTTTTAATTATAATCGAAAAGGCCCCATACAATTGGAGTTTTAAACATCCAGAATGGTACTTCGGCTGCTACTCTGCTGCAGCCGTTAAAACGGGAGGAAAGCACAGCAGACCAAAAAGCGCTGGAGTCCGACTTCAGCGATGCTGTACATTCTGGAGGCCTCCTCATATCTTTCCCCGACTGCCCTTTCTATCAGACACTAATTTGAGGAAACCCAAACTCTGTGATCGTCTCCGACTGTGATACAAAGGTAGCCCTGGGCCGGATTTGCAGAGCAATTCATGAACCGTTTATTGAATTTTGATAAGTGACCTGTGAATCGATCGGAAGTCGGCAAAAATTAAAAGTAGAATTTCCTCTGGCTGGATACTTTCCAGCAGATAGGGTACTGAAACTTGGTCCTTCTGCTCAGGGAAACAAGTCTCTTCTTGAAACTATAGTAATCATTAAAAAAAAATCACTATATTAAAAAAAAAAGGCTTAGTTTTCTTGAGGGCCTGAACGGAGCCGGTATCTGTCTGCCGGGCTTCAGCGTTCTCTAAAGCCATGCAGAATATTTTTACAACTGTTTTCATGCATGCCGTATCCACCTAATTTGGGGGCCACGTTCTGCTGTCTTTCACACCGGTACCAAAGTAGAACAACTCCAGTGCTTGCTCAGCGTTCACCCCGGCATACTGAAGAGCAGAATAAAGCCTTCTACGGTTACAGTGCTGTAAAACCTCACCAGTTTGCTCACCGTTTGAAACACGTATTTGCCCAGCATCTTTCAGACAAGGAAGCCACAATGCATGGAGCTAGCAAGTCTCTCAACAGCTGCTAAATTCCCTCCAGCACCCAGTGCATAATTCCTGTCATACAAAGAGGGAGAGCAAGTTCTGATAGGAACTGTATATATATTATTTTGGAGCAATTCCACTAGGCCAAATTCTTAGCTGCAAGGGTGGAAATATTTGTTTGCAGCGGGGTTACTCTGGATTTGTACCACAACAGAATCTGGCCCCCTAGCAATTTTGCTGCGGATGCATCTGGCCTCGCAAGGCCTGCCTCCCGGAGCTCAAAGTCCACAGCAAGCTTACAGTCTCCGCGCTTGGGTGTGCGCACACGGTCGCTGAGGCTATAGGCATAATCACAAACACTTGCTAAACAAGCAGCTGGGCTTCATTCTCCTACCCAAGGCCCCAGTCTTCCCGTTTTATACTCCGCGCTAAAAGGCCTGAGCCTTTAATGTAGCAGTTTGGAACTGGCATCATGCTCCCGACTTTGTTAGGTTGCTCCAGTTCTACGCTA